CTAGATGCCCCGGCCGCTGTTATGCTCTGTATAGGGGTCAACTAGGCCAATAGAAGAAGCTACAGTTGACTCACTTCTCTACTCATACTCCAAGGTGGGATGACGTAAAGCAAATAGCAAGCCCACTTGCTGCCTCGAGTTAATGCTAGGATAAGTATTGCCAATGATGTCGAGATTGCTACCAATGAGATGGCTGTATGGGTTATTAGATACGGGAGCCTGTATGCTTCATTCAACGGAAGCGGTGTTTGAATTTGATGGAGCCGAGTGTATGCATGTTTGCAACCCCAGGCAGTCCACAATAATTCCACCACCCAACATGCCGTCAGAACAGGCAGGTATGTCATTGCGTTTGTTTCGTCGTAAAGTATGCGCAGGAGACCTTGTATGCAGTGTATATGACCAGTCTTTCCGCTAAAAGAAGTGGGACATCATACAATTTATATGCTGAGACGCATTGGTGTACGGACAGACAGTTCGTCCGCTGTGTCTTGGATCTGCTCCAACTTGTGCATGCGGGTTGTTACCTAGCTGAAACGGTACACGAGATAGCCCGGAGATTTGGGACTACACACTGGGTGAAAGTCGAATTTCCCATCTGAACTTTCCAGTTTATCACATCTAAGTGAGGAAGTGAAAGTAGAAGACAGAAAATCACTCATACGTTGAATGTAACACAAAACCCAAGGAACCATCATTATTGCCAAGCACAGGGTAGTCACCGTCTTGATCTTGATCTGACTACCACAAGAAGGCCAAGAAGATTATGGTCTGCGCGTTGATCGCGTTCAATTACGCCTAGTAGCGTAGATGAACATGGAGTCAGGAAGAGTGCTGTTTCTTTGTCTGGCGCCCTCTATGTGGATCCATCAACCTAGACCCGAATCCAGAACCGCCTTCGTCTCACGCACATCTGACATGATCCCGGCTGTTCGTGATTTACATAAACCCCTGCTCCTATACCTCGGGTGCCCGGATGGAACTTTGGCCCGTTTGACGTAGTTATGTCTGGAGACGGCCTGATTCTTTGGTCCGTAGAGACTGAACTGCCCCCTAGCTAAGGATGCAGGCCAGCCTACACGTTACCACTTCCAGAAGTGATTGGTCTCTTAGGCATACAGAGATCATGTGCTTGTCGACGATCAGTGGTGGTTCTACAGGCGGGGCCCTTCTGTCGTGTCCCTGGCACTGTCCCAGATCAATCTTGTCTCCGACGAGAATAATGATAGTTGCGTTGGCTCCGTGTAGTATGCCTTGCTTATTATGGAGGAACGCAGTTCAAAACGCATATAAATACTCCTACCCCTTGCCTCCTGACAAGAAGTCATGCAAATTCTCCCTACCTTTGATCAAACCAAAAACCCTTATACAGATTTCTGTGCATCGATATATCAACTCGAAATGACGAACACCTTGACAACCATTGTAGATATCCCGTTAGTCATGTTTTGTCTCGGTACAACAGAGCTACTCTACGCGGTGACCTTTCTTCTCGTAGCAAGGGTTACCCACCTTGTGTTGACGGGTGAGATCAAGTGGAGCGAGATTACAAGTCGCCTTGGGAATTTTCTGCGTTCTATCCTCCAACGAGCAAGCCTATGGTCCAACATGCTTCACCAGGTCCGTGGACGCTGAGTGCATTTTGATAACGGGGAAGTGTAAAACAGCGGAAAAGCCCATAACTGACTGCTGCGTACATGGTGCCTAGCAATTGCCTCTCGTTGGTAGAGGGAAACCTGAGTAGCTGAGATTTGTGTGTCATTGAGGACGCCTGGTGGCGGTCATCAACATTGATTGGCATCACAGATGTGCAGCACATGGCCGCAGTACAAATGGTCTTAATGGGGAGGATGAGAAACTCACTTATTTGTCTCTGTCACTTTTCATCTTCTGTCCTTCTGCAACGTAAATTTTTGTACATTAAATATGACTGATCAGAAAGAAAGCGAATGTATTACGAGCTCAAGTATGTTTCGAAGACCATCATCTTCAAAGACCAATCTGTTGCTTGTGTCTGTCTGTCTGATCACCAAAAATCCTCCCTCCGAATACCCCCGCCATTTACCCCACAGCTCGAAACAGCAACGGAAAAACACCTCAGCTCCCAAACCACACTGCACGAGCTCAGTATCAGGCGGTGCTTCCTATTGTCACATCTTAGTCGCCAGTATATAGTTCTAATAAGCCCAGTATGGACGTAGAGTTGCCCTTTTATCCCGGTACCGAACAGCGAAGACAGCCTCTGCATCCTGTCCGTGGTGCTGACTAAATGAAGGTATAGACCAAGCATCCTACCTGCACTTCTGTGGCCAATATTTCATAAGATCTTTCACAAAGGCCTGAGGATTCAGTAGTGCAAATAGAGCCGCTTCTATCAGGCTTTATGCGAGGTCTCAAGCAACGCGACTGGAAAAATGATACTCTCGTCTGCGGTATCCAGCGCCATAATCAATGCTTTGCCACTCCGAGGTCTTATCTTTCCAGAGTCTTGATTCCCATGCTGAATTTGGCAGCGCTGCCCTGATGCTTCGTGAAGAAGAGCGTCATAAGGGAAGAGCGTGTTGGCCCGGGACAGAAACAGCTGTTTGATGTGAACATCGTCATAGATGGTTCGGGAGTCGGTCTTTCTCTTCTCCATCACACTAATATCAAAATTCCATCCAAATGCTAAGGACCATTGAGTGGGGTACCGTATACTGTAGGGATGGTGCTGCTGCTCTGGCAAGGTATGACTGAATGGAGCGAGTAGAACAGAACGGCGTGTGTGAACTAGATATCAGTTCAGCCTTGCGACCAGTGCGCCTTCGGCTTTATTGAGTATGCAACGAGGGTCCCCAAGTGATGATGGGGCTTAGATCCGAACTGATAGTTTGGCGAGCCTTTCATCCGCCAAGAGCAGGTGGTGCTTAGGAAAAGTTTATATGTGTCTTCATGTTCCACAGAGATCTCAAAATCTTCGCTTCAATTCTAGTCAAATCTGTACATTGATCTGAAATAAGACGGCCTATTCTCAATACCCACTAAATTCAATCATCGGTATGAATAGGACCAAACCGAGGCAGGGATACACGTCTCGGATCCACAAACAAACTGTCTGCACTCGGGGGCCAAATTCGAAGCTGCATAGAGATGGTCACGACGGTAGGGCTGGCAGGGCCGTTCATGCTGAGTCATCTGCAGCGGATGATGTATGCCCTGGATGGTGGGCTTTAGAATAGACGTTTGAAAAAGGCCAAAAACAAGAGCAGCAGAAATCCAAGGCGTCAAAAGCGTGGACCTTTCGTGGGTTCAAGTCGCGAAACCAAGGATAGTAGGAAGACTAGCGGTGGGCATACGCAAAGGAACTTAGTAGCTGCCCTCATGGGGTTGCAGCGCGATGTTATATACAAGATCTCGTTGATAGATATCTCGAGTGCCGGCCATATTGCGCAGCGGCTTTCTCCCGAGACTACCATGGTCTCCTTCGGTATTGCAAGACTTCTGTTCACTGGGACCCCAGGCGATAGGCTGGTTTCCTTAAATGAGGCCTTTCTCCAACTCTTCTCGCGTCCACTCGACTTCGTGGCGACGGCATAGCATTGAGAAATCCTCATCCGGTCTCCGGCGCTAACGGGAGTGTCATTTGCCGTCGTCCGGTTTCTGGCGCTTATCACCGGTGTGCCAGGAGAGGAGCCTGGCGCTGCTCTGGGCATTGTTCCTGCCTTCTGGTAGCATGTAGGTATCTTGTCGACACGACTACACCTAGTCGTGTGAGGGGCACGAAAAGATTGCTTGCTTGCGAGCGTCGAATCGCACTTAGCCGCCGTGCCAGAACCTGCCCTTCGTGACCACATCCGTACAGCCGCGTCACGTTCGTCTGAAGACGTTCTGAAATGAGGTCGGTCCTTCTGGAGAGTAATCAAAAGGAGTTTCGCTTTGGACGTCGACTTTCTGCCAAGACCTGAAGTTGAATTACGGCCTGCAGGACTTGTGGCCTAAGCTGCCACCCGATAGCGCCCCAGTGACTGTAATCAGCTGCAGGCAACCTTGCGTGCCTGCGCCAGATCAGGCCCCGCAGGCAATTGCAGCCCCACGGACTTAGACTACAGCACTCTCTGAATCACCTGTCACCTTAGCCCCCAGACACGCCCCGTAGATGACAGCAGGGATGGTTCAGTCCGCAGCTGATTGCAGCCATGGGACGGTTCAGCCCCAAGGATCCATTCTGGCCAAGTGTGAATTTCCAGGTAGGGTGAAGCTGTGCCTATCTTTGATAAGAAAGTGAGAAATTTTTGATTCCAATCCAACGCCCACTCACTAACTTTGATAGCCCCTGACTGATAACTTGATAATAATTGGCCATCACTTGAGAGACTGCGAAGGTACTGTGACAGCATACAAGGTTTCCTCCAATGATGAACTCCCTGATGTCATTGAGGAAGTACGCACCCAGGAGCTCAAAACTGGCAAGAAAGCAAGGTTCACTATTACTTGTTCCTAAAGGCTCAAACGGCAAAGGAACACAATGAAACATATTGGCTTTAGTAGCCTTGCTAAGATGCGAAAAGGGCTGGTAAAGAGATCACCCTATAAATTTGTGTTAGAGGGGAAAGGTTGACACGAAACTAGCTGAACGCTAGCTCTGCAGCGTTAGGGTGTTCGAAGGCGCGGGGTAGTTAAATAGGTAGAAGAACAAATTTCGACGATATGGTCGTGTGGAAGTAATAGCAGCCGATGCGCACAATGCTTAGGTTTGGTATTGCCAATGGGTCTTTTAGGCAGCCATACATGCTTGTCGAAGATCAGCGGTAGTTCCATAACCGACAGCGGGCTCCTTACGTGTGACCCTAGTGACAACGGAATCAATTCAGTTTTACACCCTATACGGAGGAATACAAGACGAGTCAAATCCGCACAATGTGAATGCGCGCAATGTGAATCCACGCAATGTGCCTTCCTTCTCACAATGGAACCCGCCAGATATGTATCTAATGCCCATTCTCCCTTTTTCTTATTGTCGATCAACCGTGTACGTCCGTTTTTTCGGCCCAGTCTTCGCACGACGCGTCGCCCACATCTTCACTGGGCACACACGGGTAGCAGAACAGCGTTTGCGGGTCGGCCCGGTCGACGTGGAGTAGCAGCAGCGACTCGCCTGCCGCCAAGTAGCCATACGCAACCCCGTAGGTGACCATGTAGTCAAAGACTTGGGTGAGCGCCATGGCCAGCCGCGCTTCGCTCCGAGTTGCTCTTGCTCGGCATCCGTCCTCGATGTAGTCCTGTTCACTTGTTCGACGACTTCCATGAACAAGCTCCCCTTCGCAATGGCCAGTTTCACATGCTTGGCCGCGATTTTGTGAGCGGCCTTGAAGTCATAGACAAACGCCACGCTTTCGTCCCCGCCGGGCCGCGTTCGCAGCCCGGCTCCATCTGGGTTTGTTGTCCGAGGCTTCCTTCTTAACTCGGATGCTGTCCGTTTGTTTGGGCCCGTACTCCGCCGCTCCGGCTTTTCGTGATCTAGGTCCTCCTCGTTCGGTAGTGGTGTTCCGACGCTCGCATGCGTGATTTCGCGGTTGTTGCTGCTGAATTGTAGCCGGCTGTAGCCGTATTTCGCGCGTATAGCTTCCTGGCCACTCAAATGCTGGAAAATAGCAAGAACTGGATCCTCAACTGCGCCTTTTTCAAAATGTGTCTCCGCATCCTCGCTGCCCGCCAGCCTGTGGGATATATTCTCTCCGATGTCTCGGGTCATGCTCTCTTGGTAGAAGAGCCGCCCGTCGCCACAGGCTTCCACGATGACGTCAAACTGCTGTCGGCGGAGCGACTCGGTAAACTGGGTCCAGGGACGAAGCCATTTCGGGTAGAATTTGCCATCGACTTTTGTCAACCCCGTGGAAGATACAGACTTGTCGGCAAGCTTGAAGCTTTTGTAGAGGTAGATGTGGCAGTTCCATAGATATTCATCTAGCGTATTCGGTTGGATGTTGCGTCTGAGGTGTTTCTCTCGGGCCTCTGCCGCCTCCTTCTCGCATCGCTCTTGTTCCTCTCGTGCCTCTGAAGCCTTTCTTGCGCGCGTGAGCCCCTAAATTTGGCGTTGCAGCCGTGCGATCTCCGGATCAGACATTGGGGACATCGTAGTAAAGCTGCGGGGATCGATCGGCAAATCCTCGCTGTCAAAGATGATCGTTATGATGCTCAGGTCTGGTTCGAACCTAGAAACTGCGGCACAATTGGAGACGATACCTGGGGTGGCTTGCAAGATCATGGAAGCTCCAGGTATCGTGAGAATGGAGAGCGCCGATGAAGGACCCTTCAGCTTCTTGTGGCAGACATGACTCAGTTACAGTACCATGACACATCAAGAAGCAAATCCGAGATGCCAACCCCTTTGCAGAGTCACATAAAATGGCCGGTGGTTATATGTGCGATGGTTGGGTGGCGTATTTGGGCAAGGCAGGTGGAAGGAAAAGAGTAACGACGAGAAGGAGAGTGGTGTTTTTTTTGCCTTTCAGCATAGTGACGCGGTTTCCCCGCTTACGCTTACGTGCAAACTAGCACGGCATCAACGTAGTTAGGGCCCGCCTGCCAACACTCGGCGCTGCAGTAGCTCCTCCGTTTCTGCACTGCACCCCCAAGAATTGGCATCCAATAGGCCCGCTTCAAGCCCAGGCTGCTTAGTCAAGGTTCAACCTCATGTGTCAAGAACAGCTCTTTCTCAAGACTCGTTTCGCTGGATCCCCGATCTCCGGGTCATCGGCCCACTTTGGCACATCGACTTCTGGACACTGGACTCATCAGCCTCGCGCCTGTACGGGACCAATTGCTGACCAAGCGGTACGGGGTCAAAACGAACCCTTAGGACCGAACCACCCCATGGCTGCAATCAGCTGTCATCTGCGGGACGTGCCTAGGGACTCCGGGTAGCGGTCGGGATCAGACTGCAAGTACTGTCTTGCTCACATCTCGTTTCACTGCGTGCCATCACCTCCCCGACTACTTGGCCCCCAAATATTGTCAGCTCCTTGGGACACTTGATTCTTGCACTATTGCCCTTCCTCGCTAACATAGCGATCCTATAGACTTCCAGCATCTACTATTTCGCCATCCTGAGCTCCAAATAATGAACCGACCAGAGCTGTCTCGAAGACCAGGCTCGCAACGCGCCAGTCGGCCAAGTGCGACACAACACAAGCGGATGAGATAGAAACACAGAGCAAACCTGGAGGGCAGAAGCACCAGATTCCCACGAACATGCCGGCGTCGAGTGTGTTACCCATTTGTTGCAAGTTTAGAACCGCCAAGCATAGGCACCCGCGATTTCCTATATAACAAATGCAGTATCCATGTAGAATAAAAGCATTCATACTCGATGACTCGTCCATCAGGTGTTTCTCTGCAAACCCTAATGATTGGGTTTCTGTTAGGCCGGCCGAGGTGGCCAAGCATGTCGACTCGATAACCGAGGAACCACCTTGTATCGATAGCTGTCCATGGGAAAACCGAATCAGCCGTATTTTCATATGTTTTGGCCAAGGGCTTATCGTGTATCGTTAGCTGTAGTCACAACTACGCGCAGATTTTGTGAAAACTTACTACATGTTGAATCTGACCTGATCTGAAAATTAGCTTGCCAACGAACCCTACAAGCAAAGAGGCGACTGCTAGGAGGACTGCCACTGGTGCAATTGCTCTGTCTGCGACTCGACGTAGCACCTCGCGGCATAGATGCGACGTCATGGCGACTTTGTGAAACTACGGGTGGCCTATGAGGATAGAAATTGAAAGTTCGATACACGATGTATACGAAAGGTAAGTTTGTGAGAGCAGATGATGGGCGTGGGCTGTCTTTTATATCCCTCCAGCGCTCAACCCTGTCACACCATCGTACGTACCGAGCTGTCTAGAGTCTACAGACTCCGGAGGCCTCTCTATTTCCCCGCCGTAAAGGCGTGTCAACGTCAAACTCAGTAATCCTTCGACGGAGAAGGCTATTCCACATTCCCAGAGGCAGACAGCTAGTCTCGAAGCACACAGGTTGGTTAGCCTTGCCCAGACGAGAGCTTGAACAGATCAGCTGAACTCAAGCCTTGTTCCAACTTCATAACACGTATGCAGATTTGAATCCTGCTAGTTCCCATGACGACGAGAAAGTGTAATGTGTATGTGATCCACGAAAGTAAACCACCACCACCTAGTTGTCCACTGCTTCGCCTCGGGAACTAACTCCATCTTCAACTATCGTTAGTCATCGCTGCCACTACCGGGTAGGATAAAACTCACATTATAACGATGGAAGAGTGTTGCTACGGTCTTGAATATCTCAACGAGAGCGAAGGTCTTCCCTATGCAAGCGCGGCTCCCGGCACCGAAACTGAAATCTGTGTCCTTCATACGCCTCAGCCTACGCTGGTAGTCGTCTTGCGTTTCGAAAGCATGACGAAGCCACCTTTCTGGCCGAAATGCGTTGGAGTCCTGGCCATAAATCTCCTTGTTGCGGTGGATCAGCCAGGGATTCATCCCGACAAGCACGCCAGGGGAAATCACACGACCATCGGGTAGATTGAGACCGCCTGCAGGAACAACACGCTCGACAATACCTCCAAGAACAGGGTGAATGCGCATACCTTCCCTTATGACGGCGTCAAGGTAGGTAAGATCTTTGGTCTCGTTATAGGTCGCTGGAAATGATAGATTAGCTGTATCGAGCTCATCACGAAGACGGCTGTGAACTGTAGGGTTGGAAAGAACGTGGTATACGATAGCTTTCGTTACAATAGCTGTAGTATCTGCCCCAGCGAGGATCTACAGTCAGACAGGCAAGTTAGTACGTCTGAGACAGTCTGAACTTCTGGGGGGGAGGGGTTGTCGATGGGGAGGATGACGAACATTGATCATCAGATATCCTATGATTTCATTATCCGTGACAGTTTCCGGATTGAGCCTCTTGGCTTCGATGTAATGATCCAAAAAGTCGATAGGCGGGGCTTTATCGCTTGACGCTTGGCGTTCTGCAACACGTTGGGCGCAGTACTCAGCAGTCCTAGCGAATGTGGGAAACTTGATAGGACATCTTGCGTTCTTTCCCAGCCAGACATCTAGCCACGGCATCTGTCCAACAATGCCAAAATACCGCTGAGAAAGCTCTGAAGCATGGATCATCCCTGTCTCATCTCCGCCCGCCTTCAAGAACCCCATGGGTTGACCAAACGTCACCTCACCATCGACGTCCCAGCAATAGAACTCAATCCACTGGGCAAGATCACATGTCAATCCGGTATTTTCTCCATCAATGAACCGCTCCTCAAGATGTTGACAGAGCTGCATCAACGTTCTGCTGAACAGGTGTTCCTGGGACAGGATATGATGAAGAGAGAATAACTTGTGAATTGGTCGCATGTACTTGGCGTGGAGGGCTTTATCTCTCGTACTGAAGACATTCTGTATTCTGTTACCATTTTGCATGGCGTCGTTCACTTTGTAAAAATCGGTCTATTCATCCGTTAATTACAGTCAGGTTGTATTGCCATGCGATGTACCTTGAGATATTGGCCGCGGGTAGAGTAAACAGTCTTGAACAATGCCGGATCGTTCAGGCTAACCATATTTGGCCCGATACGGACTGCAGAACCAAATTTCTTGTGCAATCTACGCTGCGTCTCGATCTGAGTACCAGAATAGAAATCCATCAGCCTCCACAGGTCAGTAAATTTGGCTAGCCATGGCCCGGGTATATCTTTAATCGGCGAAATGAACGAGGAAAAGATCAGGTATGGAACAATGATAGCAAACACGACACCGCCAATCTTGACGATCAAACTTGTGTAGGGCATCTCGCCCTGGTGCTGATGATCGAGCATTGTAAAGAGGTCTAGAGTCATTGGTATCTATATAGAACAGAATTTCAAAATGTGAGCGAACTTATATGCAGTATCATTTTGAACATATTATATTGATACAGCTCGGTTCATGCGTCAAAGTGGACCCGTGACAAGCTTCGGTCTTGCTCAGAAGCTGCTTTTGTACAGGCTCGGCCGATTAGTCGTAACGTGCGTCGCTGAATAGGCACGGCGCAAAGGTCTAGCGACCAAAAAAGGATGGACCTCAAAAGGATGCATGACAAATTTGGGATTCAGCTGTGGTAAGCTCTTTTTGGTAGCTAGTATCGGAGACCGGACTCTGCATTTGGGCACGCACGCAAGACAGTTGTGGTTCACGCACTCCAGCCGAGTTCACAAGAGGCCCACACTTGAATGACAAGATCAACCCACACACTGTAATGGCAGCTATTTCTGGGCCCCCAATACCATTTTCTACGTGCATATCCTACACTTCAGTGGTGAGTGGACGGCTGGATCTAGGAAGACGAACTAGCTCCGCTTACCTTTAGTATAAGACAGGCTGTCACCGAAACGGAGTCATAAGATCAGCCCCATCACTGCGGTATCCTCGCTTCTCACATTGAGAATATAATGCAGAGCATACCACGTTCGACTCAACAATCGGTCTTGGAAGTTATCCATATAGTATCAGCCTCGGCACCTGCGCTTATGACCTGGAATCCTCAGCCAGAGGAGCACCATGCCAATCTGGAACTACCTCCACGGCTTGCAGATGAATTGTGCTGGGCTTGCGAGGCTCCAGAAGCCCTTGCGCGGTCGATTTCGGCAATTTGCGAGGTCCTTCAACACTCCCCTGAGCATGCGGCACTGTTGGGTCTTGTTAAAAGCCATCCCGTATTTCGACGTATGGGCCATGTACCGTGTGTAGAAGCGGAAAGGGTATCCTGGGAGGCCTCTCTAAGACGCACTCGGTCAGAAGCAGTCGACGTGGGCGGGGCTGAAGAATGCGCAGGGGAACCTGGGTGTAAATGCACAGAGGAAACGATGCTTCATCAAATCTGCAGGGCAGAAGTCAAGTATTTGCGCCTCGAAAAAGTGCTTCTACCAGCAGGGGCCGACCCAGAGATTGTGAGAATCACCTCACGCGCATATTGTTGGACTCGTGAATGGCGCAAGGACAACGTCAAGCCAGGTCTCGAGGAGATCCTCCCCATCTCGGAGGAAGAGTCTGCTGTCAGTTCCTGGTGGAACAACGGTGCTCCAAAAATTCTTCGCGTGATTGGGAGATTCCAGGACCGGATGGAACATGCCGAAGGGATTTCTCATCTTGAAGAAGAGTTCGGCACTTGATAAATAGAAGATTTCACATATAGCGGTAATTTGATTGTAGTAGATGGAAAGGAGAGCCGGCGGGTGCTTCTGTGTTGTGTGCTTTCAGTCGAACCAATTAGGACCCCATAGCCACTTCTAACGGCCGTGAAAAGGTCGTAATATACTTCAAGTGACCCCTACGCTGTTCATCTCATCTTTCAACTTCCCGTCCCCCTCTTTTACCTCGTTCTGTGCTGCGCGGCCTGACCGGTATGGATCAAAGCCGCCACGAAAGAGGCGACAGAACAAGTGCTCGCAACGAGAGAATCGCTAACACAAATTTGGGCAGACTGCTGGAATACACCACAGCAGAGGACGTACTACATCAAACGCTGCAAGCATGCAAGAGCAGCCCAGCCGACGAAGTCAAGGACGTCCCGCGAGAGCATCTAAGAGCCATCGCGGCCAGCACAGGAGGCACAGACTTGAACAAGGCTCTCAATGAACACCCAGAGACTTGGTACTTCAAATATGTACCCAACACGCAAAAGCTCACCTACAGTAATGAGGACCCGGCTTGGTGGATTCAATTGAATGCCGCCGACGCCGGCACGCTTCAGAGCTGGGCCCCAGAGAACCATGATCGGCAGTGGATTGTTGCCTTCGCCAAAGAGAACTGGAAGCACGACTTCGAAGGCTGGCAGCGGCT